CATAAAATTTAGAAGCTCTAAGTAAAAAAACTCAAAGTTATGATAACTTTTATATTCTTTTGTATTCACATCCCTACGCGCGCGCGGGAAATAAAATCTTTAAATGGGTTCATCTCAGAAAGAAAAAAAAATAACTAGCTTATCTTCATTTAAATTGCTTAGTCTTTTTTTCTATTGTGCCAAATGCTTTGCTATTTTTCCACCTATTGCTATTAGTACATTTTACAAGAGTTGTTATGCATTTTTAAATCAAATTAATACTTATTTTTTTAAAAAAAAATAGTTGATTTTAGAGTTTATACATTTTTTAAGAAAATTTCAATAAGTGTTCATGAAAAAACGTATTTTACGCGAATACCAGTCATATCAACAGAAAAACACACCAATTTTTGATATACGTAGTTTGACGTACTTGTAAATCAAATTTCATATGTGTGTATGTCATTTATTGTAGGAGAATTAGCATTTTAAGTTCACTTCACAAATTTTAAAAATTTTCTTTAAAAAAAATTAGCAGTACTTTGAGCCCCCAAACTGTCTTACTTAACAGTGGCGTAAAGGAGAATATTAGGGACCGCCTGTAAAGTCAGATTTCGGGCCAAAAGCCAAATTTTTCAAAAGGTACTTGGAACTTGTACGTTACGCCACTGTAACTTAAGACATATACATAGGTTAAAAACAATACTTAGAACCGGAAATAAACCAACAACCGAAAACCTGAAAAAACCGTTATTTTGATCGGAATGAATGCCGGAACTGAACCGAAAAAAATATTGGTTTATTTTGACTCTATACCTTTAATCATTTTGTTGCTGTAACCAACTTATCAATATTTTCTAATTTAACGTCAACCGTATAATTATCATCATTACATGTACATTGCTTCTCGATTTCCTGTTTTGATGCTCCCTAGTACTTTTTTGTTTCAGTTTCGCATGAAACTACTCTTGTAATCTTCTAAATTTTAATAGAATTACTTTTTTTTGTTTGTTATAGAATTATATTTATAGTACAAATAAGAATGCACATAGAATAAAATTATTCATTCGGAACTGAACCGAAAACCGTTATTTTTAGTGGAACGAAAACCGGAACTAAACCGATAAAATTTTTTTAGTTGAACCGGAACGAAAAAAATTACGGTTCAAAGTCCTGGTTAAAAAGTAAAAATAAAAAAAAAATTGTAAAATTCTGAAAATGAAAGATTTTATGGCTCAAGTGTAGTACGGAGGGTGGGGACCTTTGGATTTGGCGATTTTTATATAGATATTATGGTGTGATAGCGAATTCATTCTGGATTCCGGACACCTATCGCGAAGTGAAGTAGCTTGGCGATCGATTTTGGTAGCCAAAAAAATTGACATTGCCAAGGCCCATACTACACTTTAACCGATTTTGTTTATAAATCGTACCATTTCCTCTTAAATCTAGTCATTCATTTGTGTTAACCCGGTATTCAAATGGGATGTTCTCCATATGCTAAGCAGAGTCTGAATCAGACATTTTTCCTTCTGAAAAAAAGAGGTTCCGCTTTTAGGCTTTTTTACATTGAAAGAATTTATGTTGTACAGAAAAATGCATATACAGATACAATTCCACTTTAAAACACGCGCGGTAAATCTAAAATGATAGCTATATCTTCTTAAGGTAAATAAGCCTGCACTATGCTATCACAGGCATCTCAATGTTATTTTAAAGAAAATTAGCTTCCTGACACATGGTTAATCCTCAGCAAAAACCAAATTTGTTCTTTTAAAGCGACTATAGATCTAGTGGGATATAAAAAGACGGCAATAAATAAAGGGTGGAAAAACCATCTTACTCATATCCCCCGCCATTTCATTTATTTCTTGAAAATCATCAGCAGCGGTAGCTAGATTTAAGAGGCATCGTTAGCTAAGTCAACATGGCAACACCTCCCACCTTCGTGATCGTCTGTCGACCCTTCGTTCGTCTCGTGTCACCAAAATTAAAGAAAAGGCAGTCGAGAATTATTTGTCTTTTTTCAAGGAAATGTGGTGGGAAAATAAATAGACAGCGTGCCATTCTACCCTTACTCATCTATTATTCTGTTCTTCATTCCTGGTATGGAAGATGGATTAATGGCAAAAAATGGAGTTGTCTTTGGGTCCCTGTTGAAATGAATGGAAGTGCGGAAAGAGATCTCGATGTGCTCGACTAAGCTGGAATTTTAGTTAGGGGAGGGGAAGTCATCTGAATTACCGTCTGGAAATAGACAGAAAAAGAAGATAAGATTTTTTTTCCTTGCGTTTTGTTTCGATCGATGTCGTTGTTAAATGTTAATTTATTCTTTTAGGGTTAGATGCTAGTGATAGAATTCATTAGGCTTTAAGAGAAAATAAATAAAATTACGTATTAAGGGAAATACAAATAGACTAGATATCACAGAATAAGATTATTTTCAAAATGAAAACACACACACATACACACATACACACTCAGACATACACACACATATACACACTCAGACATGCACACACAAATACACCCACACACATATATACACACACATACATGCACACACATACATACACACATATACACACACATATATACACACACATGCACACACACATATATACACATACATACATACTCACATACACACACACTGTGACGGATCTTTACTCGTCCTATCACTAATCCTCTTGGGGAATCTTTGGGCTAGCATTCGCGTTTAATTCACAGCCATCCTTCTCAAGAAGAAACCGTGATTAGTTCGACTGTATAAAGTCAGAGTTTTGTAATTATAGGAGAAGGAGGTAGAAGCTGCTGCATTCGCTACGCAGGTGAGATTAAATAAAGTTGAGTTTCGCAAGTAAAGATTAAAAGTGGTGTTTGGCCACTGTGTTAAATTAGTAGATTTAAGGTTAGGAATCTATGTTAGGTTAGGTAGATTTAAATAATTTACTTGCCCATATTTGCTTATTAATCATTGCTTTACTCTGCTACTCCTTTGGCATTCACTTTGAGAATAAGTTGTCGTTGGTTAGTGTGTTTGAGTAAATAAATAATTGTTATTATGGAAGTCTCTGGTTCTGCTTTCATTCCTCCCCCACCTTTAGGCAGGCAAGAATGTGAAGGAGAAACTTCAGGTGTAAGTCACTCACAACACATACACACACACATACATACACACATTTTATATATATAGACAAAAACCAAGGGGGTTTCTGGGACGTTATAGACAAAAATTACTGCTTTCTGAACTGTTAGACCTACAGATTTGAAATTTAACAGGCATGTTTATTTTGTCGAACACAGATCCACTAAAAACGGGTTTTGTGGAAATCGATTCCCAAGGGGGAAGCGGGGGTGCAAAAGACAAAAAACTTTGATTTTAGAAATTCTGGTCCTGTCCTTTTTAAATCAAGAGTGACGTGTAAAAGAACGTTTTTAAAAACAATCGAGAGCTTAATATCACTCGAAATCAGAATTAAATTTGAATTAATATCTATTTTGACATTAATTCAAGCGAAGTTCAAAAGGACTGATGTGACGAGCCAAATTTTTAAGCAATGATTAATTGACGGAGATGAAACCTCAGCGAGTACTTTACACTTTAACTTCCACATCACACTCTGAGAGTACTTTGAAACCCCATTGAGGACAAGGATGACAAATATGATATATCATCTCACTTATTAATATCACGGTACACAAAGTCTTAGAAGCGTAATACAATTTGCCAGCAGAAAACATCTTAGAACGCAAGGGCCAACTGGGACCAGTCTCAGTGGCTCGGCTTCTTGAAGACCTTATCTTGTTCTCCACAAGATCATGATCCGAATAATTTGAAAGGTGTCAAATGTTATTCCCAGACATAATTCCCTTCACTCCACCCCTCCTCAAAAAAAAAAAAAATTGGGGAATTTCGAACTAAGCATCAACTGTCAACAATGACAAGACCGCATTATTATGTCATAAGCATCATCCGTGCCTAGGCCTAGGCCTACCATTATTCGCCATCGAAGTCAAAAGGTAGTATTTCTAGTCGAAAGGCGGCAGTCAGTCGAGTCGGTTTGTAACTAGGTTTGTGAGATTGTGAGTTACACACATTTATACCTCACATGTTACCGTTTGTACAAGTATTTGATAATGTATGCTATATACTGTCTATTTAAAAGGGTTACAGGTGCAACCTATGCTTGTATAGGGGCCCAAGGTCTCAAAATGTCACTGTTTCACTCAAGTATGTTTTCAGTCGATTCAAGTTTAGAACCCCTAATCTGTCAAGCAACTGTGATTTTATTCCAAAAGAATAATTCAATTTAGAAAGTAAATCTGCTGCAAATCTGAAAAATGTGAACATGTATTTCATATAGTTTTCATTAGAGATTTTAAAATCCTTTGAAATGAAAAATATATAATCAAAAGAGACATCAGATATGGAGTAAGTCTTTTTTTGAGTTAACAAGAGGCTTATTACGATAGCTCTACTCAAAAGAGAAAGGTATTTATATTCTCCAGAACAACAACAAAAAATTTATGTAACAACTACCTAGATATAGATATTCTTATTCCTTACTTTATTTTGTTTTATTAAAGTAGATAAAATAGAATTATAAGCGGCAAAGTTAAAATAGAAGATTTTGCATAAAACCATTCTCTAATTTAACAGAAATAACTAAAAGAAAATGGATATAAGAATATAAAAATTATGGGAATTCGCTAAAAACTCCCTTTTTCAATTCCTACTATTTGTTCAAAAACTAATATAGTAGGAATATATATATTTATTTATTTATCTTTTTATATATTTATATCTTGTTCAAATTTTCAATCGTTAATAAAATACTTTCTATTCATCCAATCAAGTTCAAATACATTTTTTAAAACTTGTGGTGGATGACACTTGATGTTAATACAGTTTTTCAAATATTTTTTTTAATTCATTAATTAAATTAAAAAATGGATAAATAGTAACAAACAAAAATAATAATCCAACAGCATAGATAGAAAGGAAAATCATTCGCCGTGTCCCTGTAGCGCAATGGATAGCACGTTGGACTTCTAATCCAAAGGTCGTGGGTTCAAATCCCAGCTGAAACTGCCTCATTTCTGAGAGGTTTATTTCTTTTTTACTATACTATTTTAATAGAATAATTAAATTTAATGAATAAAGAAATAGTAACAAGCAAAAAAAATTAGTCCTTACACCCTATATAGAAAGGAAAACTGGAAATTGCAAGGAAAATCACGGTCCCTTTTGTCACTTAATATTATGATTCTGTCATATGTATATACATATTTATATTAATTGTAACTATTTAATAAAAAGTAACTAAAATAAAATGTTTCTTTGTTGACCTAAGTAGGTATTGACTTAAAATTTTTTTTATATTACCTGTTTCTTATATATATATACATTTTACAAGTACAGAAGTCCTTGTTCAACTTAATTTACGAAACTTTTTAATATATGTCATACAAAATAACCGAATGACACAATATTCGTTTGTATTTCAACGATTTTTTTATGAAAGCTAAGGATGATGTGTGTGCATGTGTTAATTAAATTAAAGACGTGATGAAAACATATAAAAAACTGCATTTGTATCTCTTGAACAGTGGAAGAATTTGACTGAACTTTTGAAGACACATTTCGAAACACGAGAGCATCGCACACGTTGAACAATCTTTTCAACCCAGGAAAAATCATAAAAAAAAGTCCACATGAGCTTATTAATGATTTCAACAGCTACTATCCGAGATGATTTGAAGTGTTCCTGACAGTATCCTTTTACTAAGCTTACTAAGAGCCCGGGGACATATTGAATTTCAAAAAATTGGTTAAAAAAAATATTTTAGCGGTTGCCAAACGTTTTTGACCTCACGGACCAGTAAATTCATAATTTAAATATCGCGGACCACTAATAGGAATTTTTAAGTGTTAAATATATATTTATAAAAAAAATTGATCAAAGAACACATAAAATGTACCTGGTTAATAAAATGAAACTACTAATTGTAAACAAATTATGAAAGCTTTATTAAAAAACCATAATAAAATAAACAAAAACTGTAAAAATAGAACAATTAAACAATGGTTTAAGTATATCGAACTGTTACCATTATACATTCCTTTATCTCTAGTGTGATGGAATATCCTTGGAAAAGAGATTATGGATATTTGGATCCAATGTTGTTACTGCAAGACAGAGAACTGCATTTAATTCAAGCTGAGATTGGTACCGTACCTATGAGAAATGAAAAGGTCTTTTCACATAAATAAGTTGTGGAGAATTGAATCAGTTGAATCTTCTCTTTACCTGTTCACTAAAAAAAGGGTATTCACTTTTTATGGAAAACCAAAACTGAGATATTGATAGGGATAAATGAAATTTAAATTTGAGAGTTTCGTCGGACGATAGGTCGATGAGGCGTTCTTTTAGTTGCATGCGTAAATTATTATCCTGAATTTTCGCTGCAAACGGATCTATTATCCATATATTACCATGTTACCACGCATTTCACATATTGTTATGAACTGAATTATGATTCAAGGCATCTCTCTTAAAACTTAACACAATGTGAGTAAGTATATTCCACATTTTTCTGGGGAACAGTGAAGTTTCCACGCGGACCACTGCTTTGGCGACCACTGAAATATTTAATAAAAAATTTCCAGTATTTTCATAACACAAAAAGTACTTTCAACGTATACATGGCATTTACATGATAATATTTGTTTGGTATTTTGTTTATATGATGATCTTTGTTGGAAATGGATCTTCTTTTTGGTTCATAATTTTTCCATCTTCACTATAAAAAGATTTTTTTACTTCAGTTTTAAAATGTTCATTCATTGTTTTGTAAGCAGATAGAAATAATAATGTGAATTATACTTCGTTTGTTCATTCGAAAGTGAAAGCACATGATATGTATTTACATGCCGAAATTAATGAGATAGAAATTCTTAACAACATTTATTCATTGAATTAAAAGTTCTTTTTTCCCCCAAGTTTCTTAAAATTTGGAGCACACACATATACACTAATGGAATGTCTAGCAATAAGAAAAACGTTACCAATACGCATTCAAAAATTTAAAATATATTTATATATATATACTTAGGTAGTGACTTTATCTGAACTTCACAGATCATCGAATGGAAAACATAACACAACTCTTTTTTTCAGTTACATAATTCCATGAATCCATATTTATATTAATTTTGTCTTTGAAATGTGAAGAAATTTAGGAAATGTAAGTAGAATAGTAGTCAACAAGCTATAATTGAAAATAATCTATATAAAACAGAAGTGAAGTGAAGCGAACTAACATAACTCAAGTTCATAATATGGAACAGTCTTGAAACTGTCTCTTGCAATGAAGTATAGTTTTAATTTTGTTGTATAAATAATAATTATACTTCATTTCTTCTTATTATTATTTAGCCAAAAGATTGAAGATTGGCTTAAAGTCACAAAAAAGAATCATATTGCGACTAAATTGTATTAATAATGGGCCATATTGCATGTGTTTATTTCAAACCTTATCTTGTGAATATTCGTACTAAAGTTAGTTCAAATGTTGATGTTCTTTGTGCTCTATAACAGGTTTATATTTTCAGAACTCATTAAAAACACTATTTAACTGTTAGTACTTCACGATAAAAATATCGATTTAGATCAAAATAGTCCTTTTACTTAAATCAATTATTTAACATTTCACACGATAAAGTGTGCTTATTAATTACCTACGGAGTTAAGCCTATTTACTCGGATGTCCAAGAATTAATTTCGCCGAAAGATGACAATTTGTGCTCATTATGCAAAGTACGATGGAAATTCATTGAAAGCATTAAGTGCAAGATTAATTTAATTATCTTTCCAAAATTAAGGTGTGAAATTATATTTTCTTATAAGGTAAGCTGTTAATCATATTCTATGTTACGAAAAATTTTACTTTGTTTCCAGGAAATTTCTAAGAGTAAGTGCTTAGTTATATATATATAAATAGAAGAAAAGTTTTCCGAAATTTATTAATAGCGATAAGGGTTATTAATAATGACAGCTTATGGAGTAAATACATTATATAGAAAATGGCATTTTCAGTTTTCTTTTTAAAGCAATTCCCACTTAGCGAATTTTCTCGAAGCGAAATAAACAATTTAGTTCTATAGTATTGACTAAAAGAAATGCTGACACATTGTTTATATTTTGCTGATCATGTTTTTCAATAACAGTTATTTATTTATTTATTATTATTTTATTTTTGAGGAAAATATTTCCTTCCTTTTCTTTTAATAACCTTTTTAGCTTCTTACCTAGTTTATTCGAATAGATAACAACAACAGAAAAAAAAAATGGCGACGGTTTTTTCGAACAAAAAGGCGGGGGAATAGCGCTGTCTTTCGCGACTTTAAAGTGCTTAACTCCACGTATATTTATCCAAAGAAGTGATACTAAAATGACAAATACCCTCATTAACTTTCTTTTCGCAGAGATGATAATAAAAAAGCGGGCCTCGTAAAAATTGGCTAGAAACGCAGCCGCCCGCGATTAAAGCATTTTTTATTATCACTCTTCCCCTTATTCTTTTTATCATTATTTTCATCCCTTCTAAATTTTGTTGGGCTGTTTAAGGCGACCCTCATTGAACGGTCGTTAAACTGCAGTGGTCCACGGACCTCATACGTGGGCCCGTTTCAACGATGCACTTGATACGGGCCCCATCCTGACAATGGCTACGAGTTCCTAATAAACCAGACTCGTTATCCAGTTTTTTTCGGTGTGTCGAAAACAAAAGAGCTCTTGTTTAAGCATGTTTCCTGCTTTGCCCTGTGTGTCGTGCCGAAGTCCGGTGCTCGTAAACAGTGAAGAAAATGGTTGCTGAAAAGATTTGACTGCGCTAATAGGCACACAGGAAACGCTCCTATGGACAGAAATAGATATGAATGAAAGAGAGAGTGAGAGAGAGTAAAAAAAAAAAATACTACAGATTTACATTGATAATTGTTACAAGATATTCGTCACGTCCTCGAGAAAAATTTCTTGAGAATATTGAATGATGACATCAGTGTAATGAAAGCTGTTGATGTTATGAGACCTTTCGTTAAAAATATAGAACCCAATCAAATTTTTTTCCATTCAGAAAAATACTCTAATACAGGGGTCGGCAACCTATGACACGCTGTACGATTGCCCTCGTACAGCGTGGCACTCTACGTTATTCTACAAATTTATCAATATTTGAGTGGATGGAAGTTGATAAATTTGTAATGGACCTTATTTGATAAACATCTTCAGAATTACGGACATTTACGGAATTACGAAGAAAAAAAAATCTGAAAGATTTGCAGAGTTATTTTGTAAATTATTGAATACCAATACTGGAGAGGTATGCTCCACGTAAATAACAAGCATTCTTAATGTAGATTTTTTTTACAAGATCTTGTACAATAATATCTCGTGGAGTGTGCTCCTCTACATAGTGGGTCTTCAGTGGTACTAGGGCTCGAACTCATAACACTCCGGCTACGAGCCTGGCCATAACCACTAGGTTACCGCGGCCATCCCATATGATGAGGAAGTAAGATGCAGTAATCTGTAAGGATGTGTCAAAATAGTATGTATACAAGCCTTTCTTAGGTGTGTGTGTCTAGGGGGGGTACTCTAAAAAAACGAAAGCATCGAGGTGTAATTTTTATGGTAAAAATTAAAAATCTGTTGGCCCAGGGGGGGGGAGTTGAACCACTCCCTAGTGTAGGCCACTGAGATGTGTTACCTCTTCAAAAGATCGATTTCAACAGTTCCCGTGTGCATTAAAATAATATCCATCTAAATTAGTCAGTCGTTATGTTTTTCTTCACAACTTGTTTATAAATTTTTAATGTTTACTTCTACAGTTACAGTTATTGTTTTTGTTGGATATGGAGTGACAAAGGCTATTATCATACGCTTACTTCCGTTGTTTTATCATTGTACGATCTATTCATAAAAATGATGACGGTTAAAGTTCATTTTTAAAAGTGATGATGATGAATTTTATCTCTTAATTATATTTTACAGGCTATTCCTAGACACTTTATTATGGACACGGTAGCC